CATCAAAGAAAACATAGTTCTATTTAGGAAACTTGTCATAAAATGTAATTTTATCCAATTCGTCAGATAACTGGCAGATTTTCTTTTGATCTTGGCTCAGCCGAAGTGAAACAGGAAGTGACATCAAAGGGGAACTCTCTGGTCTTTGTTTTTTGAAACTATATTTTTTAATCTCTGACTCTTCCTCTCTGATAGACTCAAAATAATCTTAAACATCAGATTCTTCTCTACAGTCTGTGTTGTTAGTTGTTGTAACAACGCTCTGTTTACATGCAGACGTTCCCCTTTGACATCACTTCCTGTTACTTCACAGGTGAATATCTCAACAACTGTTCATCTCAGAGGCGTGATTTTATTTTTTGCAATTTGAGATTAATGTTATCTTTTCAAAAGTGCATTCGTATTTATTACAAAAACTTGATGCCACAGGTACTTTAAAACGGGTGGAAGTTTGGGTTTCTGCACTCTGGAGGGATTAACACTGAAAGACGACCCAGAAAATCATCCAACTTAAACAGCAGATTGTGTAAAAACTGAATGTTGTTTCGGCTGTGATGTCGCTCTGAGCTGCAGGACTCAAGAAAACCCTGTGGTTGTCTATTGGTGGGAAATGTTAATTTTTGTCCTAATTTAGTCTGCGTCTCGTGGCGAGTTCTGAAACTGAATGACCTTTTTGTAACCGAAACAAATTTAATTTCTTCATTTATTTTATTTCCTCTGGTTTTCATGAACCTNATCCAGGAGATCCGGGAGCTGCGTTTGGGGAAGGGCTCCCGTGACTTCGAGCGTTTCCCGGAGGAGGCTCGTAAACTGGACCCGGCCCATTGCTTCGTCGTGCTGTACGGCCTGGAGTTCCGCCTCCGGACCCTCAGCGTGGCAGGTCAGGTCGCTTCGCACGCCACCTTCGGCTCGTTCAGGACAGGAGTGCTCCGACCTTTGTAACTTTAGAACTTTTCTTTTTTGTTTATAGTTCCTTCAAAACATTCTGCTTCAACAAACTACCAGGTTTTATTCTGTTGCTTGTAGTTTATACATACTGTTCTGCTACTTTTAGCTTTTTGTTAGCCTTTTGCTATTTTCAGCTAGGATTTTATTACTGATAGTTCCTAGATACCTTTTTGCTACTTTTTGCTTTTTTGTTAGCCTTTTGCTACTTTCAGCTAGCATTTTGTTACTTGTCCTAGAGACCTTTTTGCTACTTTTAGCTTTTTTGTTAGCCTTTCGCTACTTTCAGCTAGCATTTTGTTACTTGTAGTTCTTAGATACCTTTTTGCTACTTTTAGTTTTTTTGTTAGCATTTTGCTACTTTCAGCTAGCCTTTTGTTACTTGTCCTAGATACCTTTTTGCTACTTTTAGCTTTTTTGTTAGCCTTTCGCTACTTTCAGCTAGCATTTTGTTACTGTAGTTCCTAGACATCTTTTTGCTACTTTTAGCCTTTTTTTAGCCTTATGCTATTTTCAGCTAGGATTTTATTACTCATAGTTCCTAGATACTTTTTTGCTACTTTTCGCTTTTTTGTTAGCCTTTTGCTACTTTCAGCTAGCATTTTGTTACTTGTAGTTCCTAGATACCGTTCTGCTACTTTTAGCTTTTTTGTTAGCCTTTTGCTACTTTCAGCTAGCATTTTGTTACTTGTAGTTCTTAGATACCTTTTTGCTACTTTTAGTTTTTTTGTTAGCCTTTTGCTAATTTCAGCTAGCATTTTGTTACTTGTCCTAGATATCTTTTTGCTACTTTTAGCTTTTTTGTTAGCCTTTTGCTACTTTCAGCTAGCATTTTGTTACTGGTAGTTCCTAGATATCTTTTTGCTACTTTTCGATTTTTGTTAGCATTTTGCTACTTTCAGCTAGCATTTTGTTACTTGTAGTTCTTAGATACCTTTTTGCTATTGTTAGTTTTTTGTTAGCATTTTGCTTCTTGGGTGAAGTTTTGCAGTTTTTTTTTTTTTTTTTTTTTTGTTGTTGTTGTTGTTGTTGTTTTTTCCCAGTTTCATCCTTGTCATATGATGGACCAAATGTCAGACCTGCACCTTTTAATATACATCTTTGCTTCAGTTTGTCTAAATCTGTGACGGAAACTGAAAGATAACCAATCCAGTTTATTTATAAAACCCTTTAAAACTCCTCCATGGAAACAAAGTGCTGAAATCAATGCAGTAAAAATAAACATTCAACAATAAAAGACAAAAAGAAGTAAATGATTTGTATTTCCTGCAAAACTTCAGTGTGAAAACTTAATGCTGAAAACTGCTGACGAAGCTGGAAATGTTTAATTACAAAACTGTTGATGTGAGTTTGTTTGAGACTTTATTCATTTAAAAACAAAACAAATTCTATATAC